CCCAGTGGTTGAATGGTCGACGAGTTCACCTTTTAGCCGGAAGGTCCTGGATTCAAAACCCGGTGGGTGCGTACGGATGATGGGTCCTAAAGTGGAACGAAACAGTACTCCCTAGTTTCCAGTGGTCCTTTAACTGATATCAACCCGTGATTAGACTTGAAAAGCAAGTGAAAAGAATACGGCAAGTTATTATTTTTGCTTTAAATGGGTTAGAAGGTGTACTGATAGAATTTCAGCATTCTGTAATTTGATTTATTGATATCTGTTTCTAGAAGATTGTCTGAATAATACATGGCGCATGTTTGTCACCATGTGTAAAGTGTGTACTGATGTTTTGATGTTACCTATAAGATAATTTGCATGCCTGGTGCCTGTGATCTTCAGAGCTATTTATTGGAAAAGAAGTGATTCTATTGTCTTGCGTTTAATACTGGTAAGTTGTAAATAATTAACGCACAGTATAAAAATTAGCATCTGTTCCTTTTTCATAACAGTTATTTATTGGTAACGGATGCGACAACAATTAAAACTAAAAGGCACAGAACTCCCCAAATTTCTTTATCTGAAAAAGTTGAAGTTTCTGAAAGTGATACACATCATTATTAAGAAGGTTAAAGAGATATTTCTTCAGAACTGATCGGAGTATTGAAGAACAGAAATGTTGTGACTTCATCTTCTCAGTTATTTAGTGAGATTTCTACTAGTCATTTGCTTAAAAAATATCATGGTTAGCTTGAAAACAATTCACGATCATTCAGGTGTCTAACGTCGCATTCAACAAGTTGACGAGCAGTGAGATTCCTCCTTAGGTACTCTTTAGCACCGAAAAGAAAATTTGCTGATATTTCCTCTTGGAAATTAAGTGTTTAAAGTAGTCAGAAAACTGTATCTACAGTAGATATTTCTGTGAGTGTTTCTGTAATCGTTACGGGTGGGGCTTCAGTATGCGCGTTGAAAGCTATGATACAATTGGTTTATTTGGATCATCTTTAGAATATCTGTCTAAGCTCACAACCTTGAAAGCTCTTGTAGATCCAGTGAAAGTGCCATTTAATGAGTTCTGAAGTCGATCTTTACAGTGTGAACACAATAGAGACTGTGACTTCCCAAGTAATTTTGTTTTAAATACTGGTTACATTTTTTGACGAGCTTGTTGTGAATGTCATTCCTCTAGTTGTAATACTATTTACTGCATTCCAGTTCCGTAAATGGTTGAAATGAGTACGGAGCTGACCAGTCAGCGGTAAGTAACCAATGGAGTACGGAATTATTTCATACAATCACTACCCTTTATGAATTTGAAAAAAGCAAGAACAACAGTATATACAGTGATGAGTTCTACTGAGATCGTAAAAAGAGACAAGCAAAGTTATACTATATCCAACTAGGAGGAGGTTAAAGCCAAAGATTACCTAATTAAATTAAAGAGGGAGTAAAACATCCAGTGATTAGGGCAAGGGAAGACTGACAACTACTTCTGTCTGAATACATAAATGGGATTTTAGGGATCGGATAACTCTCGCTACGTCGAACTTGAGAAGAATTGAATTATTTTGTCTACTGATAATTTTAAAGGATTTCATGATGTCCATCTCGTAACCCGTATTAATGAGATGTGTGGAAACGGTACTGTAAGAAACGCGTGTTCCCATGAGATGTGGGCTTTGTGGTTCATGTTCAGATATTGGTGTGCCTTTCTGTTTCCCTGATATAACAGCTACCGCAGATACATATACATTTGTACATAGAGCGTTAACATCAGTTGCGTATCTGTCAACTTGTGATTGCACCAAAGAGCACGTTGTCTGATAAACGGGAACCAACTTAGCTGCAAGATAGGTGCTACCCAGCGAAGTATTCCTGCAATATTGTCACATGCACAAGCTCCTGTTATTGTTTTATTCAAACGAATTAATTGTTAAATTAAAATGCATCAATGCATTACTGTTCTCTGGATAGGGTGTGAGAGATCACAAGTGTATGTAATTGCTTAGAATTAAAACAAGTGGACATAAGGAAGCCTCTTTGTTTCTGTTGATATCCAGAAGCTTCTCACAAATAATCTAAACTTCTCTGAGATTGTCTTATGAGGCTGTTTATTTGATCAATGTTTTATTCCAAGAATCATTCTGTTAAGTAAGGTTCTTAATGCGTTTGCTGCAACAAGTTTGTATTTTAAGGAATTAAAATAACAAAATTCAAGGATGATTCCGCTAAATTTCAATTTTAAGCCCTTACTGAGAGAACTTATACCTACAGTTAAAACGTCATCTCTAAGAAGAAAACACACTCGCTAATAAAGTAAAATCTAGTTATAAAAACAGCTCAAATGGAGAAGTTAGGTAACTAAAAACAAAGCAAACCTGAAGAACAGTGCCTTCTAGTCACTGATGCGCAGATCTGGATACTGTTGGTGAGTCAAAAAATAGTATAACCTTTAACTTCACTAACTCCTTAATTGGTTTATATCTGTGTATAATGAACAGCATAGCACGCCAAAAATAAGCAAGAAAGAGTGTTGTTGGTGTAATCATGTGTTATGCTTGCATGATATGTGTGAAGAACTTTACTTATTAAGTAGGTATCTTAGAAAAAGAAGTTATTACAAACGGATATCATTGAAGGCTTTATAGACTAGATTCCTTTATGATTCAATCATTTATGTGTAAAAAAATTACTTTTTGGATTTTATGTTAGATAAGTTTATTTGATACGACACAGAGAGATACAGTTTTAAGAATATGATGTTTACAGCCTAATTCGTTGTCCATAATCATATCAGTGTATTCAAACAACTTCCTAACAAAGCCGTACTTCGTCTGTCTTGGACACAATAATTCATATATCTACAATAGGTGTTACCTCATTTCGGTTAATATTTCTATTGTTTTGAATCGATAAACAGAAGTTTTATTTACAACGTTAAATTCTATGCTATCAAATTTCACACAGTATTACGTAACGTTTTTATTTTATTCGATTTGTCTACTAATCCCATAATTGCACACCCTTTTTCAAGTCCTATCCATCCTATGAATTATTCTATATATGACATCAATTTGTTTTGCCACTTGACATTTAACTATGAGTATAATCACAAACATTTTAGTTTTAATTGTATTTCATACTACTACTACTACTATTATTATTATTATTTTATGCATTCACACCTATGATTCAATTTCCTCACTGGATATAACTTCTTAAAAACCATACATATACGACTGTACAGCTTAATGATAAATTCGTTGAAAAGAGTCTCTTCGCTGAATCACTTGTTTTGATTTTCTATGTGTTACAATGGGAATTTTCCATGTGTTAAACAAAAGTTTAGTGATTAAATGATTGTTAAGTATTCTTCAAGAAGATTTTTTATTCACAATCACTTAGCTCTCTAGTGTATTTACTACACTTCCTTTTGTCTATAAATAGAAGAAGTTATGAATTGTAAAGATCGCGTAATCACAGTGAAATACAAAGTGTTAGATGGTTGTAGACAATCAACTGCACATTTATTCATCAACTCAGATGGACAAAGTATTCAGAGTGCGAGTGATCGATAAAATGGCATATATATATATATATATATATATATATATATATATATATATATGAAATCATGGTGCTGCATACACTAGTTCATTTTATTTACAAAATAATTGAGTAACAATGAAGATCACATTAACAATCCTCTCATCTAAAAGTCAATCAATCATATTTCTAGACATATCTATAACATGCAAATACTTGCAGAAAGTTAATCTGACATCCGACTAATAATAGTTTAAAACAAGCAATAAAGGTTAATAAAGCAGGATTTAATGACAGTACTATTGAACATGAAATAAAATCTCTGAAGGATATTTTCTCTAAAAATGGATATCCTGGGAAGTTCATTAATAAATACTCTAAAGAAACTACCCCCTGCAAAACAATTCAAATAGTTCCGAAGAAACCTGTCTATATCAGTTTGCCGTTCAAAGGAGATGACGTACAGGAAGTAGTGAAACGAAGACTCGACAAAGCCATCAAGAGAACTTATTATGCTGCAAAACTTGTTATCCTTAACACCACCAAGCGAGTGCTTCAACAATCTGGGAGAGACCAGTCGCCAGTCCTCGACATTTCAAACTGCGTATATCAATTTGAGTGTGTTTGTGGCAGCAGATACATAGGTCGTACGGAAAGGCGATTGTCTACTCGCATGATGGAGCATTTGCCAAAATGGTTGAAAACAGATGAGTTCAAAGTGCCAAAATCATCAATAACAAAACATCTTGTGGATTACGGACAAAATATCGACGCGGTCAAGTCATTCACCATTGTCAGCAAACAAAGAAACAAGAAGATGCTTGCAATTGCAGAGGCTTGTGCAATTCGAATTTATAAACCAGCCCTCTGTATACAAAAGGAGATGGTAGTGACTCTGAATCTACCATGGTAATACGTTTTACTTATTATTCTCTACTTGTTACTACTATTATTCTACCTCTTCTTCTTATTGTTATTATTATTAGTATTCTTGATTCATTTAAAACTATGCTTTATCAGTAAGATTATCTTAACTCACTTCAACACTATTATTATTATTGTTATTATTATAACTATTACTATTGATATTAGTCTGTTTGCAATTCTCGTTATATTGCCTAATGACTAATTGTTTATCTAAGTGATGTAATTGAAGCGTAATGCAATTTATCTTAACTTTGATCTCTCATACTCTCTCTCCCCTTATCTATTTGAACATGACCTGGAAAACATTCGCACCTGTCTTTCTGCATGACTAATTCAATGTAGTTTGTTTACTTATCAGTCTTATATCTCCCAATGTAATTTCAAAAGTATATATATCCGTGTATGTAGAGTATTCAGCTGACGAGTTCTACCGAAATTTGATGAATTCATTAAATCCTGCTTTATTAACCTTTATTGCTTGCTTAAATTCGTAACGGGTAATAATAGTTTGTGGAACTAATATCAAAAACACCAAAATGTTTACTAAATCTTTTTTTTTATAGAAAATAAACTTAAAAATTCAGAAATACATCACTATAAAAAAAACAAGTTGAATGGCTAGCAGAAGGGTAAAAAACAAAACAAAAAAGGGGACGAGAATCACATGTGACATGAATTACAAGAGTGAAATGGACATCAAGATTAAATAAGCTGTAGGAAAAAAACACCACTAGATAATTGAATAAAAGATAAATCACAAAATAATGGGTACAGAGGCTATAAGAAACTTAGTTTATTTCCCAATTATCACGAAAAAACAACAAAAGTTCTGATCGAAAACATTAAAAAAAAACAAATCAACAAAGCAAATAAGCAACAATATGTGGGTGAAAATTTATCTGCTTCTATATTTAAGAAGATGGCATAAAACAGGCATGAAAGTATACCATTTCTAGACATTTGTGATTAACAGTAAATCATAACAAAAAAGTATTATCAATAGTATTAAACATGACTAGAGATGAAAATGCATCATAGAGATTGTAGTTTCTGTCTCTTTGTCTCTCTTTTCTACCCTGTCTGGTGGAAACAAGGGGAGAAACCATATTGTGTTAAAGTGCTGAAGGTGTATGGCGTACAATTTACTTTTATTTTCGTTAAGATGTATAATATCAGTAATAGCCTACAAGTATTTGACTATTTAACAGTGATCTGTAAGTATTTTATTATAAACGAAAATCCATTAAAAAATTGACTTTTAAAGTGATGTAAGGCTATGCAAGAATACGAAAATTAAACGTTGAATTCTATAAATGAGAGAGAATAAAGAAAGAAAGATAGATAGATAGATGGGGTCAAGGGCTACTAATGCTTGACAGTGCCATAGATTTATCTTCCTACTTTATTCGATGCATTTTATGATGATAAGATGAAATCTGTAGATCTGTGTTGCTGGTTCACATTGTTAACATGAAATAAAAAATAAGGGGAAATATCCATTGACTGTGAATAAAAGATGACAAAAAAAATAATACGACTAGTCATTATTTAATGCTATTTTATGTTCACTTTCTGGATGATGTGTATACTCGTAATCTAGGTGTACAAAAGCACGCTCAACAGATTGAAGTCTTTCCAGTTTCTTTTGTAATCCTTCGCCAATATCATGAGCGTCTTTTAGACACATATCTTTGGGTAGTACAATATCGACCTAAGAAAAAAAGAAAAACGAGACGTTAATTACAAATAAATGTCTCATATATATATCAGATTGAGTTTGGACGGCATATTTTAGTGCAATGAGAAATTATTGACTTCCTTGTTTATAGGGGGGTTCAAGAAGTGCTATGCGAATGCTACCTTTCTACGAAAACAAGAGACATCTTTATGGAATCATTGCTGCTACCTACCTACCAATGCGGCACACAGAATATTTATGTTGGAATTTGGTTTATCAAATGTAGTAATTATTTATTGGATTTCAGAAGTCAATCTTGTTTATTTGAAATACATTCTATTGAATCTTGTCTTAAAGCCTTCAATACGCTTCATCAGACAAAACAAGTTGAAGGTTGCCATCTAGTCCTGTTCATTGAGGATAGTTTCCTCTAAAATGATTAACACACTTGAAAGGTGTACATCTTAGAATTTGTTTCTTTATTCATGAGTATATTTTTGATAGGAGGATAGGCGTTCAAATACTAGTCATCCTAACTTCTTTTTCTTTTCAATGATGGATATTTTTATTGATGCATCATCAAAAAGAGCTCACGACATACATGAAGTGTTTGTTTATCTTATTCTTTAATGCTACTATGAAATTTTTTTTGTATGAAGAACTATTATCAGCTTTGCATAAGGCGTCCGAGTCAAGTATAGTCAGTCAGGGACAAAACGTACTACTTTTCATCAGTAGTTATTTTAATTACAGATAAATGAGAAAAATTCGGCCTTTTGCATACAGTTAATGACCAAGTTAGATAGTCCTCATTAAGAATTCTTTTTATGTATTATTAACAGTCCCGTAAAATCTTTGAAAAAAATATCCGTTACTGATACTTATCTATAAAATACAAATTGCTAATTTAAGATCGGTTTACGTCAAAGTTCAGTGAGTAAAAAAGTATTAAATTACATAGTTGCGCACTGACCAAATATAATTACCTCAGAATTTAGATAAATTATTAGCTGTTATCCGTGATACAAGATTAACAGGTAAACGATTCAGAGTGCTAGGCAAAACAACAAAACTAGTCAGTCGAGGTGAATGTTAACTTGTATTGATAGAGACTGCTGTAGAGTGTTTTATACCCCATAGCTTGTCATGTGGAAAGGAAAATACTCACTTAAATAAGTCATGAGAATACTGAGTCTAGAAAGCATCATTAAAACATGTAGTGTATGAGTGTTACTATGAGGAAAGAAGAAGTGTAAACTTTTGGTTATTTCGTCTAGGTACACTACAAGTGAAAAGTCAAAGGCTGTATGAAGTCTTTAACACTTATTGCAACACAACATATCTAATCATGTTTTGTATTACTTGATACAGCAATGTCACATGTGCATGTTTATAAACAAACGTCTCAATTACCATGCAACCTATAAAAGTCATATATTCAAACTTTAGAAAGTCGCTCTGAAAGACTTCAGAGCACTTAGCTTCTGATAATTGTCTGCATATCAAAGAGACTTCATATTCATTAGATAATGTGTAAAAAAATAAGTAAATCTATACATATTTATTAAAAGATCAACCCGTTTGTGTACAGATTATCTTGATAAATAAATGAACGTTCGCGGACAATCAATGAACCTTATTTTGAAACATCTCCATAGAATCAAATAGAACCAAATATTGAAAACTTGATTCATTTGACACTTAAAAAATATCGTCAGTCTAGCTTTCACTTATCAATGCCGTCAGGGAAATACTAAAATAAACATACAGGACAAAACAAATAAAAGTAAAATTCAGTCGAACATATGACATTATTTCATCGGAATACTGAAAATAAACTCAATAAATTATCACTTACTTCCACCAAGAAATGAGCTCCGAAATGAAATGCTCTAATTGTATCCAATCGTTCAATTAAAGGATGATAATTAAGACATATGAATGCAATCTTTTGAATAAAACGTGGCTCGGCTGTATGACCAGCTAAATTACGTATTTGTTCTAAATTAGAGAAATAGTGTAACATCAAAGGGAATATTTTTGAAAATTTTATTAATTAAATAAAGGATTTAAAAATGGATCCAGCTGAGATTTTTTCTTTCCTTCACGTTCCCCAGTGGAACATAGGGCTTCAAGCTAGTGGCTTGAAGTTTCTGTAGCAGTGTTTATTTTACAGGATAGGGTTGCTAGCCTCATGCCCAACCTTTCCTCTTTACCAGGATTATTTCTGGCTTAGCAAGGTTAAGGAGTGCGTCGGTCGGGGATCGAATCCCGGACCATGTGTATGGTCGGCGAGCGTCCTAACCGCTATGCCACCAACGCACAATCCAGCTGAGTAATGACAGTATAAAAAAGTAACAACTGATTTTCACTTTAGCAAACGTTGTTTCATCAAATTAAAGAACACAAAACACTGACATTCAAGTGTTGATTTGCAGGGATTTGATCTGATTGGTTACAGGATTTCATCATGATCTAACGCCAGTTACAGAACTATTGGACAGCTTTTTCGTCCTAGTTCGACACTTTTCATCAGCACGCAGTCGCCAGGGTTTTAAACCTTCTGGTTACAAGGCAACCTCTTAGACCATTAGGCCACTGGGATCCTGTCTAGTGGCCCATGAATTCCAACTCTGCTAATTTACGATGTAGCGCAACCACTAGCCAATGTCATCGGGGTGAGTATTTGTCCTCACACCCGACCTGCTGTACCGCATTGCTCACGACTTCTCACTAGGCAACTACCTACCTAAAAAGAGCCAATAGTTAGTAAGCATCGGACTGATATTAAAGTGTTGGTTTGCAGGGATCTGATTTGTTTCAGTATAGTAGAGTAGGGGATTTTTTTCTCTCGTTTACTATGATGAACTAATAATTTGATTAAATTGGCTTGAGTTATTTGTATTTTATAGAGGAGAAAATAACTATGAAACATGGAAGTTAGTCAATGAAAATTTGTTGCAAAAGTTGGTTTACTGATTCTGAAACAATGATGAATTGGATAAGGTCAATGGTCTAGTTGTTTCACATTTATAAGCTCAAATAGTTCATAAATAAAATTCAGTATATGACAATAAATAATGATGTTGGTTTTAAACTATTCGGTATTGAAAATCTGCGTGTAAATATAGTCGTCCTAAAACACTTCTTTAACTGTCAGTTCTACTTTGTAAACACTGGAGACAATTTTTATCATATTCCATGTAAACTGTTGAATATTTTGGGAATATTTTCATACTATATGCTTTCATCTAGTACAGTGAAATTTATTATATGAAGTGATATGACAAAAATTCATTGATCTCTTGTTTAGCATGTCTGTTCTCCTTGAAAGAATTACTGATAGTATAAAACATACATTGCAAAATTTGTCTCTGGTGTAGCCTATGTGTTAATTGTTCCATATTAATAATGCACTCATTAATCCTGTGTCATATTGCAAGTTGACAAGGCTAAAGAGTATTCGTATATGTTTCATTGCACAGATAAATGACCCTAACTGAATTTTATTATTATTTATTTATTTTTTGATTACAGCTTGATTCCACACTGTATTTTATGGTACAAGTATGGAATTTTCAGCATGCGATATCGGTAGCCCAAATTTTGCAGGCCGACCATAGATATCAGGTTTGTGTAGGCAGACGATCGAACCCCGGTCCATGTGCATGGTCGGCGAGAGTCCTAACGACTGTGCCACCGACGCAACATCGCTCAACATAATTGTTATGTCTTTCTATGATGTTTCTCATGTGTAATTGCACTTATGTGTTCAAACTATAAATATTTAACAAGCCAAGCAGTTATAGTTCTTTTTTTATAACTTTCCTGATACAGTCCTACTTACTTTACATCCCTTCCAACTTTCAATATTAAATAGATATTTATTTCAATTTTAGATTTTCAAGTCGATTGACTGGACTGAAGTGCTCGGTCTTAGGTTGATATGTCGGCTTCTTGTGCAGATGCTTCGACGATGTCTGGTCATGAAACTACAACTCAAATGATGGATGGTGACTAGCGGTGGAATCTAGGATGTGCATTTTGTCCTATTTAGGACTCGTCATCTGGGTGTAACTCATTTCCCCAGTGACTGGTGGTAGGTACTTCAAAGTCATGAATTACCATCCAAATATCAACTGAGAAAAATGTTTTTCATACATTCGGTTCCCTTGATAAAATTCGATAGAGAAAGAAAGACCAGATTTGCGGTATAAAATGATATCATTCTATTTCACAGGTTCGCATCAGTTGCGAACTACCTAAAATTACAATTGTTATAAATAATAACATTGTACACTTCAATGTTTGAAAGGTAATAAAGAAAGTATGGAATGAAGTATAAAGTGTTACCATTTATAACCATTGCAATTTCAGGTAGTTTGCAGTTGATAAGAACCTGTGAAATAGAATAATATCATTCTATACTGCAAATTATTTCTCTATCGAAAGATTTTTGAATTATTGCATGTTGATCTATTCATAAAATACAATTCAAGTACTCTACCATACAGAAGTGTTTCACTTCATTTAAATTAATGTTTTCGAAAACTCGTTTTCTTTTCTACCTACACCTCGCATTATTGACCAATAAAATCTCATTACTCTAATACACCTTTCAGCTGAAATAATGATTTAACAGATTTAACAACTTACCAGCACCAAGATGATACCATGAATATAGAATGTAAGTACTGATGAGTATAGCACCGATTGGATCCAAATATTTAATATTTTGATATTGTTCTACGAATAAACAAATAAATAACAATAAACGGTTAGCTTCAAAAAGATTACTTAATCACTTACTGAACCAGTGTACATTTCTAATAAAAAGAGGAAAGCTTTATGAAAATGGAATTTTCCAATTGATGAAAGTAAGCACAAATGTGAATATATGCACACACAATACTAATGAATGATATGATGATGTGACGAAAGTAAATGAAAGTGACATTTATTTAGAAAGGCATTTAGCAGACAAATTTCGCGAAATTATATTATTTCATAGTTTCTTTACGATCATCGCTTTACAGCTAACATGGTTCACAATAATAAAATAAAATGCATGATAATTGGTTGAAGGATTTCACCATAAGCTGGCATCAGTTAGAGAACAATTGAAAAACCTCGGAGTACTAAACAACTGTTTCGCCCTGGTTTGGAATTCTTCAGCAGTACGCACCCACCGGGGTTCGAACCCAGCACCTTCTGGTTTCAAGGCAAGCTCGTAGACCAATAAACAACCGGGACCCAATCCAATAAGCCATGAATTCTAACTTCTGCCAATTCCTGATAATTACTCCGTTATATAAAACGAAATTACATACTAATGACGAAGGCGAAGGTTGAAGTCTATTGTTTTTTGTACACATAGTTTAAGATGTATGTGATTAATCCCAAAAGAGCTTTCAACACCTTCGATAACCTTGAATTAGAGCTATGTGACGAAATAAGTGTGAAGCAGTCATTAATATTGATTTTATGACCTGATATTAATAAGTGCTTCGCAATGGATGATGATGATGGATTTCTGTTCAGATTAATTGCATTGGGATTTTCTGTATGTTTTAACAACCATTTTTGCAACATGTTCTTTTCGACAACATTGAAGCATTCTATTGGTTCTACCCATCATCTGATATCATCTCGCAAAATCTATCTTCTAAAATTTTTATTCAAATTTATCAACGGGATCAACTGTTTTAAGTTATTTAGTACTATTTAAGTGTTGGTTTGTAGGGATTTGATTGGTTTCAGGGTTTCATCATGGGCTGACATTAGTTAGAGAACCATTGGAAAACCAACTGGGAGTACTGGACAGCTGTTTCGTCCTAGTTTGCGACTCTTCAGCAGTACGCACCCACTGCCAGGGTTCGAACCCAGGACCTTCTGGTTACAAGGCGAGCTCGTATACCATTAAGCCACTGGTACCCGATCCAATGGTGCTTGAATTCTAACTTCTGCCAATTCACGACATAGCGCGACCTCTAGCCAATGTCTTCGGCGAGTATTTGTCCTCACACCCGACCCTCTATTTAGTACTAAGTTTAACATGTTTCATGATGAAAGAAGATGAATTATTTTGAAACTAGAAAATTTCAAATTATGTGCACTTTGGCATGAAATGTGATTAACAAATACAATGGACTTTAAATAATAAAAAAATTTATTGCTATACAATTAACACATGCTCATTAGTTTGAGTAAATTACATTCGTAAACACCAAACAAATGACCGAATGAGAGTATTAATGTCAAACAACATCAACTTGTTAAATAAAAAAATGACAAATGATAGATGACATCTCATTTGAATAAAAAAACAGAACAATACGAGGAAAACATCTCACTGATATGTTAATACTCATGGATTAGCGTTCATGTACAACTTCAAATAACATACAATTAATGATAATTAATTAATGATTTGTTATTTGTTGCTTTTTGCTATAGCAAAAGTGATTATGAACTAACAATGTATATGACAAAGTACATGATGAAAAAAAAGACTATAAGGTGTACCACTGTTTCACCGAATGCATCCAAAACAGCAAATTAATGCATTCTCAACAGTAATGAATTAGTTTGCAAAAGAGTTTCATATTTTACTACATAACGAGATTCGAAGTTGGAAGTCACTTTACCCACACATAAATGTTAGCAGATTTCATAATTCACAAAACTTTCATAGAGATTTGAAGTACTTTATATTCTCTTTAGGTAATATAATGAAATAGTAATGCTGAATATGTACGAAACATTGTCTAATTTACTAGTTCACTAGTTTCCTAGCCAGTCGAAAGCCCATAAAAAACGAAATGGAAGGAATAGGGCTAGCGGCCCTACTCCAAGAAATCAGTCCAGTCGCTACAGAAACTTCCAAACACAACAAAAATGTAAAAAAACAAACTTATTATTCTCTAGAACCGCAGAGATGTAATGACGTGATCTGCTGAAAGCCTTCGGGAAGCCAATCAGTCGATGTGTCTTCTTCTTTACATGAAAGCAGAAATAAGTATGAGGATATGGAATGTTCGCACGATGTACGAAACTTGGGAGATTGCTCAGACTGTCAAAGAAATGAGAGGAAATGGCATAGAAACACTAGGAATTTGTGAGAGCTAATGGAATGAATACAGACTCACCCAACTGTGTCAATAAAGAACTCCGGTCACCCAAGCAACAACCATGGGCACACTGAGAAAGCGGCTCTCATTATGTCGTCAACAGAACCTAAATCTACTAGACAGTGAGAACCGATCTTCTCTAGAATAATGACAGCAAGATTAAACTAAGAAGGAAGGAAAGCTTGAATTAGCTAGTATTATTTATATAAGTATAAAACTTGGGCACTGTGGTAGAGTATAACTCCATTATAGATAAGATTTTATTTTGATAAATCACAGTGATATACAGCAATATTAACTGATGACGTTTCGAGCCTGTAAACAGGGTAGAACTTCGTAAGACAACTGCTTACAGTATTCAACCAGATTCCAAATGGGCACATCAGAATCCTAACGGGTGATAATAATGCTTAAGTTAGAACAAGTAACATAGGTAGCGAACTCATGATGGGTCGGGAGGTTTTCGGTGAAATGGATGAGGATGAAGGACTCTTTCTAGACTTCTGCGCATTCACTGGTTTGGTTATTAAAGGTAGTGTGTACACGCATAAGGATTTACACAAGACAACATGAATTTCACCTGAAGGAGATACCAAAAGTCAGTTAGACTTCAGTGTGATAGACTCCCGGGCGGAAAAGGAGCAAAAATGAGCTCAGACTATTATGTAGATCCAGGGACCCTCGCGACCAAGTTGAAAGCCTTCAAAGCTACTTAGGATAGACCACAATCCAAGTTCAACACCCAAAATTTAAAGAACAAAACTACTAAAGACACATTCCCTGCTGCCGTCAGAGTAAAGTGGAGGACATTATGTGTGGAAGAACACTGGGACTCCCTTAAAGTGACTTTAAAGGCAATGCGTATAGCCATTTCAGGAAGAAAGAAAAGAGGCAAGAATTGGCTCCCTACTGATACTTTTAAGCTAATAGAGCAGTGGGGGTGGCGGAAGAGAAAATGAATCAATGCAAAGATGGACAACAGAAGAAAAAGATGAGTTCAGAGTACATTGCGCTGAGTAAAAAATTGAAGAAGATGACGAAGAAAGAAAAAGTATATTTATACGACACACCAGCATCTGAAGAAGAACAGGCCTTAGGTAAAAAAACGACCTCGGAACATTATATCAGATAACCAGGTCTCTATCCAGGAAGAGATTAACACAGATGATAGGAATGAAAGACAGTGAACGGAACCTAATTACCAAAGAGAAGGGAAAACGAAAACAATGGGCTGATCACGTCAGAGGAATTTGGAACCGACCATCACCTGCAGTTCAATCAGAAATACCACCAAGAACATGCACAGAACTGCTATCAGGAACCAATATTACAGCGAAATCAGAAATCGTTGATGCAATTAATCTACTGAAGTCCGTGTAGGCAGCAGAACAAGACGGAATTCCCCCTAAGGTACAAAAACGGACCTAGCGAGCGCGACCTACGCCCCTATTGCGAAACGTTTGGAAGGGAGGAATGGTACCCACTGGTTGGAGGAAAGGCTACCTTGTGAAACTACCAAAGAGAGGAAGCTTTTGCCTCTGTAAGAACTGACGCGTAAGCATGCTGTTATCAACGCCAGGCAAAATATTAAGTCACGTCATCCTGCAGAGACCACGGGGATGCTAAAATGCATAATTTCGTCCGGAACAAGCTGGAATCAGGAAAAGCAAAATGTTTTGCGGACCAAATTGCAACTCTATGTATCATCATCAAACAGAGCGTAGAATGGCGTCTACCTCAACTTTATCCACTTTGAAAAGGCCTTCAACAGTGCTGGCTGAGAAGTAATTTGGAAACCGCATCAACATTACAGAGCACGAAAGGACAAACTTTTGTCAACCTCATTCAGCTGCTATGTGATGATTCCACATATCATGTGATCCACAAAGAAAAACTCACCGTAGCCTTTGAAGTGAAAGCAGGAGTAAAACAAGGTTGCTTATTATCACCGGTGGTATTTCTCATAGTGGTGGACTGAATCATGTGGAAAGCCGTGGGAAGGGAGAAGACAGGAGTATCTTGGACCGACAAGAAGACTCTGGAAGATGTGAGTTTTGCGGACGATCTGTGTATGATGTCATATAAATATGATGATCTATAGGCTAGAACTAACAAGTTGTCTTACGAGATTGGTAACAAATATAGGATTTCAGGTGAACATAGAGAAAACAGAGATGATGAAGATACCAAAGACAATAAATACCAATCCCTATCACCGGAGTAAATTTGAAAGATGTCACTTCCTACACTTGTCTAGGAAGCATCGTTTCAACTATGGGCAGCCGACACGGATGAAGATGTCAAAACCAGCATCAGAGAAGCAATGAACACCTTCATGGCTCTGAAATCAGTTTGAAAATCAGCAAAAGGAACAGAATTTGGAATCTCAACACCACTGTTAGTCAGTTATTCTATATGCGTCAGAAACTTGCACTGCGCTTCACGAAAAGAATTTTTATCAGCTAGTGGCAGAATTATCAACAGCTGCCTTCACTATTTCCATACTGAAGCCAGAAGAAACCAACCAAGAAGATATCGCTCAACAAATATGCAGGCGTAAATAGAGATGAATTGGAACACAGTGGCGCTGAGAAGACCGTCGAATGACATCTCACG